GCAAAGTGATGCCGCCCATTATGGGGTGAGGGAGCGACGACCGAATGCGTCCTTCTCCGCGTGGGTCAGCCCATTGACGGTAAAGGTGCCTCAACTGGGCCCTGGCCCCCTGGCAGCCCCCTTCGTGGACGCACAACATGGCTGACGCAGCAAGAGCCGGCTCCTTGTCCCAACTGCTGTCTTGCGGACGTGGGCCCACCACCGCGCTTCAAGGCAAGGGGGGGGGGGGCTTCCTGAACGACGAGGCCTTCAGAACCGCAAGCTGGGGGAATAAGTTCAGCTGGACAGGCCGGGGGGGGTCGCCGGGGGGGTCGCCGCCCAGATACGCATCCTCCCCGGGGGGTCCCGGAGCTCAGAAAAGCTTCAAGATGAGCCAAGAGCGACAGAAGACACCCCCAAAAGGGTACAAGAGGGCCTCGACTCGACGAACGATGGCCCCAAGACGCCCAAGACGGCCCGAAGACGGCCCAAGAGGCCCTCAAGACGCTCCAAGAGAGCCCCAAGAGCACACCCAAGAGGGCCCCAGGCGCCAAAATCGTCAATTTTACATCGGTTTTTGAATGATTTTGGCCTTCTCGCCTTTTCGGCTTTCCGACACTCCAAGACGGCCCAAGAGGCCCCCAAGAGGCCCCCAAGAGCGCCCCAAGAAGCCTGCAAGAGGGCCCCAAGACGGGCCCAAGAAACAGCCAAGAGGGGGACGAGGAACCGAGAATTCGAGACTTCCGCCCTAAGAGGCCCCCGGGACGCCCCAAGAGGCCCCCCAAAGGCCCCAAGAGGCCACCGAGCGGCGCCAAGACGCCCCCAAGATGCGCCGAAGACGGCCTCCGGAAGCCCCAAGAGGCCCAAAAGAGGCCCCAAGAGGCCCCACAACGGCCCCCAAGAGGCTTCAAGTTGCCTTCCAGACTCCCCCGAGAGGTCAACCACGAGATCCCAACCAACATCCATAAGGCCTCCTCCTCCTCCCCCTTCACCCTTCCTCCTCCTACTCCCTTCCGCCTCCTCCTCCTCCTCCTCCTCCTCCTCCTGCCCCCCCCTCGCGTTGTCTTTCGTCATCTTCAGGGTCGGCGGCAACGGCCGCAAGGCCTTCGCAATAAGTTCAGCTGGACAGGCCGATGGGGCGAGAGCTCCGCGTCAAGCTGCGTCTCGACGACCATCGCCCCTTTGGCCAACCCCCCCGAACAAATAAAGAAATCGAGCGTGGTGGGCGGGCCGCATGGGTAATGAGTGGCAACAGACGGAACAACGAGGCAGGCCCTCAACTCCGCCACAAAAGACGAGGACTCGATCACCGACGGCTCGCGGTTGAAATCAGCACCGACCACCCACGGCTGGCCCACATCCGATAATTGTGCGCCAAGCTTGGCAAGGAGACTAAGATTGGCATCGCTGAGCCCCCCCGAACGGTGGAGGTAAGCTGGCACCACGAGGATCGGGGGGGCCCCAGGGAGGTGAACCGAACACGCGATGCATCGCCCAGGCGTCGCGATGGCATCCTTGACCTCGAGACGCTCCATCCACGACCGAACAAAGATAGCCACTCCGCCGCTGGTGTCCTGCGCCGCCGTTGGGGCAGCTGGGGCCCAGACCGACTTCCATTCACGGCGGAGGCACCGCGAGCTGGCCTGCGCAATGTCACCCGACGAAATCACACGGTGCTCTTGAGCGAGCACAACATGAGCGGGACAATCTTCCAAGAGGGTCCTCAGAGTGCCCCGCGAGTTGGCGCTGATGGAACGAATCGTGAGGGGCACCGAATCATCGCAATCTGAGCTAGCCGCGGTGCCTCGCCTTCCTACCACGGGCGCAGGCAGCGGCAGACGAACACTGCTCACGCGATGGGTGGACCCATGGTCCTTGAAACAGACGGGGCTGCCGTTGGCAGTCCGTGAGGCTGACGGTGGCGGCCCACCGCCATCGCACCCAAAGGCCGTACATTCCAAACCTACACCAGGCTCAACGTAGGGAGGAGAAAAGACGACCGCTGGGGCTGGCCCCTCAGCGGTGTCCTTGCTAGGTGGCTTGCCACGGGCCAGCACTGGGTACTCGACCCTTGGACAACTGAAGTCCAGCTGAGCGCTGGAGGAGTGCTTCTCCTGGCCAGCACTCCGCGACGAGATGGTGACTCCCCTCTCGCCCCAAAGGCGGGCCTGGGCAGCAGAGAGAGGGGAGCTCTAAAAAGCCCCCAGGGCCACGAAGACACACGATAAATGCCAGCGCAAAAATCGAATTTTCCCCCCTGGAGGGCGCTCGACGAGCTACGGGCCGAGGAACCGAGCGAACCAGGAAACGAACGAGCCCAGGGTATCAGCACGCTCCTCCAGGGGGGGCTCAGTCAGAAGGCGGCACAGCGCCTGCGATGAGGCCGGCGCGGGCCCGAGCAGAGCCTGCGTCATGATGTCCCCCGCCGCCACTGCGCGCCAGCTCCTTCGCCTGCCGCAGCAGGCGCCCCAGGCTCGCCAGAGGCCTGAGCGCCCTTGCCGCCAGCGGGCGATCTCGGGGCTGCCGTCTCCTTGCCAGCCTCAGGAGTGGTGGCTGACCCAGCACCAGCGCCATGTTCGACAGGGTCCTCCTCCGTGCGCCGACGCTTGGCAGCCAAACGTGAGACATGGGCGCGGTGGGCAGCCCTGAGCTCGTCGACCTTCTGCTTAGCTTCTGAGAACAGCGAGCCCGCCATGGTGGACAGGCCCTTCTTGAGCTGCAGGACGCAGGACTCGATCTCGAGGCAGTCTTCTTCATCGAGGTCGAAGTCGTCGCACTTGAACAGGTCGCAGACCTTGATGTCGAAAGCCTGGGAGAGGCGCTCCTGGTCCATGATGCCCTCGAGCGAGAGCTTACAGACGGGAGCAGCGCAGGCGGTTGTGCCTGCCTGCTCCTGAACCAGACACTGAACCAGGGCCTTGTGCTCGTTCTCTGCATCGATGAGATCCTGCCGACCGACCACCATGGACCTCTGGGCAGCAAGCTGGGCTTCCAACTCGTCGTGTTTGCCCACAGCAGCAACCATACGCTTTTTGATGCCTTCGACCTTCCAGTGGGCCTCATTGAGGCGGACTTGAACCGACTTGGGAAGAGCGACAGGTGCTGTGAGGGCTCGAGCGGAACGACGGTGGGCTTCAGCTGCCAGCTTGCCACCCAACTTCTCCGAGAGTGCCGCCACGGTCTCGTACTCCTCAGCAGAGAGCGTGGGTCCTGGGGCAGGTGCCTCGGGGCCGCCTTTGGCCAGGCCGTGGCCGCCCTTGGCACAGGCACCTGCGCCCCCCGACGGCACGCCCTTGCCCTGACCGCCGTCCCAGTAAGAGCCTTGAAGACGCCCTTGACCGAACAGCTGCATGGCGGCGTTGCCCTGCCAGGCGGAGTCTGGCGCCATGGGCTGCTTGTACGAACCGCAGTGCTTGCAGTAGTAGAACCTCGCAGCGTTCTTGGCGCACCCACATACTTGGCACTTCCACTTCTTCTCTGACGGCTGTTGTGCGGGCTGCACGCCAGGGCCAGCAGGAAGTTGAATACCAGGAACAAGAGGAGGCCCGCACGAACCATGGTACCCAGGCTGGACCTGGTTCCCCTTGCCCTTGCCGTGAAACCCTTGCTTCCCATAGGCCATCGCAGAAAGGAAGAAATCGTGAGAGCGCTCGGAGACCGAGCAAAGCAGCAATAGCTGGGGCGAACCAGCTCTGCAAAGCGAGAAATGCCTCCCTGACCAGGCAGTGAGGCGTCACAAACGGGGGCCGCGGACTCCCCCACGCCAGTAAGGTCAGGTCTCGTGCCAAAACGGCTACGGACTTGAGCCAAAAGGCTACGGACTTGAGCCAAAATGGCTACGGACCCAAGGCATGGTGAGGCAACGACTAGTACTGAAAAACTTCCCCAGGGAAAGGCCCGCTGTCGAGAACCCGGTTCCACCCTGACACCACCGACAGGGAACGGCCGAAAACCTGGCAGGACCTCGGAACCGTCAAGCATATTCGGGGCCCAAGCCGGACCGATCCTGGACTTCGATCCTCGGGCCTCGATCGATCGACCCTCGATCGATCAATCAATCCTATATCCTCGAACCTCGACCCTCGAGCCTGGATCCGCGAACCTCGATCGATCGATCCTCGATCATCGACGATCGAACTCCAATCGATCGATCAACCTATCGGCTGTCGTGGGGCCGCGGAGACTCTTGATCGAGCAATCGGCACTGGATCCTCGATACCCGAGCCTAGATCCTGGATCCAACGGTCCTCGATCGATCGACGATCGAACGTTGATCGATCTACCGCCACGACGGCGGCGAGGACGCGACGACGACGACGACGACGACGGTCACGCCGAGGGGCGACGACCACGACCACGACTACTACGACACCGAGACGAGGATCAAATCGGATGAGGATAAATCGAGTCTCTGAGATTCTGCTGTTATGGAGAATGTCTCGTGCGCCGCGGCCTTCTCAGAGCGTCCCAGAACGCTCTGAGAGCGTTTCAGAGCACTCCGGAACGGATTTACCCTCGTCCTAGCCCCGTCCGAAGTCCGAACACGTTCATCCATCGACATCAGGGAACACAAAACCGCACACTGTAGAAGTCTGACAGGCGTGTGAAGGCCTTATATACATTGAAAGGCTTCCCGTCGCAGGGCACGATGTCTCTTTCTCGCCCGTTGGGGCGCTCCTCGCAAGGGGCTCGACGAGTGACGGCCCGCGCTGCTATCTCGCACTCTCGCGCCATCCTAGAGGAAGAGAAACCTGCATAAACATCAACTTTTGGCACTCCGCGCGGATTTCTTCGATCTGCGCTGGACCCCTCCTCCCTGGCGCGCGGAGCGCGTCAGAGGCGGCGCTGAAAGCGCCGCCAGGGGGGCCTCAGCGCGGATCCAGTAAATCCGCACGAAGCGCCAACATTCAATGTTTATGGCGTTGTTTCGTCGAGCTCCGTCGATCGGTCGAAACATCAACCACGCGATCCATCGATCGATCCACCGAGCAGGCGTCGTGGGGCCCGACGGCGGCCGCGGCCTCGGTCGGCTGCCGCTCGCCCCCGCGGTCCCAGGATCCGCCGCCGCCGCTGCCTTCGGGAGGCGTCGGTACGTCGTCGTCGTCGTCGTCGTCGTCGTCGTCGTCGTCGTGGTCGTGGTGTCGTCGCTGTCGTCGTCGTCGTCGTCGTCGTCGTCGTCGTCGGCGTCGTTTTCGTAAGAGGAAGAGGGAGCAGGGAAGACGACGGAAGGGGAAGTAGGGATGGGGAAGAGGGGTGGATGAGGAAAAGGACGAGGCGGGTGAGGGAGGAGAGAGAGATGGGGCACGAGCGGAGGGGGGCGGGGGGAGACAGTGGGTACTCAAACGGGGGGCCGAACAGAACGGAGGTAGCAGCAGCAGGGAAGTGGCGGCGTAGGGCAGCCTGGAGCTCGGAAGAAGACGAGGCCGAATGCCGAGCTCCCGAGCGCCGTCCTCATCCAACAACCCTTCCGCACTCCCCGCGGCGCCTCGGAAGGCCGCGCCGCAAGCTGGCGCCTCAGCGTGACACAACCGAATTCGGCCAGCCTATCCCAACCCAGTGCAAAACGCCAGGGCGCACCAAGGGTGGGGGGAGGGGGAACGAAGGGGTGCAAGGAGGATGGCGGGGAGAGGGACCACGGAATCCCTGAACGCCCCCCCAGCAACTGCGCACATGCAGAACCGCCGAGGAGTCAGACACCACGTAAAGCCCACACCCTCTCACCCCCTCGTCTCCCCCGCTCCTCGCCAACGGGGAGGACGAGCAACAGCAGCAGCAGCAGGAGCGAGAGGAGGACAACAACGACGACGACGCCGACGACAGCATCGACGGTCACGACGACGCCGGCGGCAACGAGGACGAATCAAATAACATATGGTTATATAAGCATAAGCATGAACTTTCGGAAATCCGCGCTGATGTTTTGGAGCTGGACCCCGCCTCCCCGGCGCGCGGATCGCGCCAGGGGGCGCTTGAGGCGCCGCCAGGGCCGCTCAAGTGCCGCTCCGAGAAATCCGCGCGGGCCTCCGAAAGTTTTTGCTTATGCCATGCTGTGTTCCCCAGGTCGCCCCGCGATGCGCGGCCATCGTTGCGCCGTCGCGCCGCCGCCTTGGAGGTGCTTCTCCGACTCGAGCCGCGATGCGCGCAGTGGAATTATCTTCGAGCCCTTGGGCCGGGTGCTGCGAGAAGTGCTCCTGGCCCAAGGTGCCCCCAGCTTTTCGCTCAATCTTGGAGCCCCTGGGGCCCTCTGGGCCTCGTGAGGGGTGCTCTGGAGCCCGTGGGGGCGCAGCACCCGACTGGGGGTGACCTGGGCATGAAGGTCGAAGCCGGTGCCTCGTCATCGTCGTGAGCGTGGCTCGGCGGCGCGCACGGTGGGGAAGTGAGAAGGGGCGGGCCTTCCCAGAAGGCGCAGGCAACTTCTTGGCAGGCCGGAGGAGCTTCCGAGAAGCCCCGCCGCCTTCGGAGAAGGCCTCGGCCCTGCGCAGATCCCCCCCCCGCTCGCCGCCGAGTGGCCGCGATCGGGCCCTGGCCCCCGCCGTCTGCGAGGGGGGAAGGGGGGCGGGCGCGGGAGCCGCCGCGGCGCCTTGGCCGCTCCAGGAGCCGCCCCCGTCGCTCCAGGAGCCGCCGCCTCGAGCACGCGAGGCGGGGGGGTCCCCGTCGGCCTCCCCGCCCTCCACCGTCCCCCTCGCCCCGCGGCTCCTCCCCCCCGGCGTGACGCCACGTTCTCGCCGTCGGCGTCCTCCTCCTCCTCCTCCTGCTCCTCCTCCCTCCACTCCTTCTCCTTATAAATTAACTCCTACCTGTCGCACCCCGAGGCAAGTTTTTAGGGCGGGCTGGGCGTTTCGCCTGAAACTTCCTCACCATTTATGACTCTGACGCCTAAAAATGACAACAATTTGACAAATGGAGGGGGGATCGCTTTCAAAATGTGGCTCTCGCCTGAGCGCCGCGCACATTCGTTTTAAACATTTGCAGGAGCTTCACGGATTGAGGGCGGGCGGTTTTCAAAATGTGGTTCTCGCCGGAGCGCCGCGCACATTCGTTTAAAACAATTGCAATAGTTCCGCAAATTGACGGCGGGTCGTTTTCAAAGTGTGGCTCTCGCCCCAGCGCCGCGCACATTCCTTTGAAACACTTGCAAGAGCTTCACGGATTGAGGGCGGGTGGCTTTCAAAATGTAGCTCTCGCCTGAACGCCGCGCACATTCGCTTTAAATTTGGCAAGAGCTTCACGGATCGAGGGCGGTTCCTTTTCAAAATGTGGTTCACGCCTTAGCGCCGCGCGCATTCTGTATTAACAAACGCAATAGTTCCACGGATTGAGGGCGTGCCCTTTTCAAAATGTGGCTCTCGCCTTAGCGCCGCGCACGTTCGCTTCAAACATTTGCAAGAACTGCACGGATTGAGGGCGGGTGGTTTTCAAAATGTGGCTCTCGCCGTAGCGCCGCGATCGTGCGTCTGAAACTTTGCAAGAGTTCCACAGATTGAGGGCGGCACCTTTTCAACATGTGGCTCTCGCCTTAGCGCCGCGCACATTCTTTACAAAACCTTGAAAAAACGGATTGGGGGCGGTTCCTTTTCAAAATGTGGTTCTCGCCTGAGCTCCGCGCACATTCTTTGTAAAACCATGAAAACAATTAACGGATTGAGGGCGGTTCCTTTTCAACATGTGGCTCTCGCCTTAGCGCCGCGCACATTCGTTTCAAAACTGTGCAGGAGTTTCACGGGTTCCCATGATCAGCGTACCAAAAAAATGTGTTTGGGAAGGATTCAGGATTATGCGGGCGCAACAAGTATGCGGATTCGCGGTGTTGAAATCCAAGAAATGTCGTTATGGTACGATTTCGGATCCAAAACGCAGCAGTCAGGTTGATACGTTGCGTTAAAATCCCGAGAACAATGTTTTGGCATGCTTCCGGATCTTCAAACGGTTGTCTTCCAACGAGGCAGTTCCCTCAATGGAAATGAACAGTTGTAGGGCCCTATGAAGAGGGAGCTTGGAGGGAGGGTTCATTCCAAGATCGTTGATGACTCTTGGGTTTAAACTGGTCCTCCCTCCTCCTCCTCGCCCTTCCCGCGTCCCCCCCCCCCCGCTGCTAGTCGTCCTGCTGCCGCTGCTGTGGCTCCTGCACCTCTTCTTCCTCCTCCTGCTGCTCAGCCCTCGTTTCCTCATCCCCCCCAGCCCCCGCGTCACCCCTGCCATCGTCAAAAGCCGCCCCCTCGCGCCCCCCCCCCGTGCGCGCCGCCTGCGTCCGTCGTCGTCGCTGACGTCACTGTCGCCGCCGTCATCGTCGCGGGGCCCCGAAGGCTCCGAACGTATGTTTCACAGGAGCGTGGAAATTAGAAGACCGCAAAAACAGAGTGTTGCCTCCAAAGGAAATCTGGAAAGGACCTTTGTCGCCGCCGTCGCCCTGGCCTGAGGCCACGGGGTCCTGAACGGAACATGGGCTCTGGGCTTCCCAAGGCACTAGCCTTTCGACCCGAGTTGTCTTAGACCCTTTCTCATCAAAAACCCTTTTCCTTCGTGGTCGTGGTCGCCGGCGCCGTCGCTGTCGAGGCTGGCGGCCCCGACTCCTCTCTCCTCTGACGAGGAATGTTAGAGGTGGACCGGCTCAGGGGGGGGAACCGTCGACGTCGAATGGACAATACATCGCCGATCGATCGGCGATATGCCCAGATAGGGAATCCGCACGTTCCTAGGCGGCGTGGGGCATCGGGACCCAATGGGTGATACACGAACGACTCTGAGTCGATCCCTCTCCCCCGACATTGCAATCTCTTCTGACTAGCAGTTGAACGTCCCTGACGAGAGGTATGCTTAAGGGTGAAAAAAATCTGCGCAGTGTTTTTGCGTAGTGTTTCTGCGTAGCGTTTTTTGCGTAGTGCTTTTCGCGTAGTGTTTTTTCGCGTAGTGTGTTTGCGTAGTATTTGATTGCGCAGTGTTTTCGCGTAGTGTGTCGGTGTGTGTGTGTGTGCGTAGCGCGTCTGTGTAGTGTTTTGCGTAGTGAAGATGCGTCGCGTACTCGCGTCGTGTGTGTGCTGAGTGCGTTTACGTAATGTACTTGCGTAGTGTATTTGCGTCGTGTATTTGCGTCATGTATGTGCTGAGTGCGTTTGCGTAGTGTATTGGCGTACTGTGTTGGCGTCGTGTATTTGCGTAGTGTTTTTGCGTAGTGCTTTCGCGTAGTGATGTTGCGTAGCGTTTTTGCGTAATGTTTTTCGCGTAGTGCTTTTGCGTAGTGTATTTCGGCAGTGCTTTTGTGTAGTGTTTTTTTTAGCGTAGTGTTTTCGCGTAGTGCGTTCCCGTAGCGCATCTGCGTAGTGTTGTTGCGTAGTGTTTTTGCGTCGTGTATTCGCGTCGTGTCTGTGCTGAGTGCGCTTGCGTAGTGTATTGTGGTAGTCTATTTGCGTAGTGCATTTGCGTCTTGTATGTGCTGGGTGCGCTTGCGTAGTGTATTGGCGTAGTGTGTTGGCGTAGTGTATTTGCGTAATGTTTTTGCATCGTGCTTTCGCGTGGTGATTTCGCGTAGTGTTTTTGCGTGGCGTTTTTCGCGTAGTGTGTTTGCGTAGCGTTTTTGCGTAGTGTGTTTGCGTAGTGGTTTCGCGTAGTGTTTTCGCGTAGTGTGTTTTGGCGTAGTGTTTCTGCGTAGTGTATTTGCGTAGCGCATATGCGTACTGTTTTTGCGTGGCGTATTCGCGTCGTGTATTTGCGTCGTGTGTGTGCTGAGTACGTTTGCGTAATGTGTTGGCGTAGCGTATTTGCGTCGTGTATGCGCTGAGTGCGTTTGCGTAGTGTATTGGCGTAGTGCATTGGCGTAGTGTATTTGCGTAGTGTTTTTTCGCGTAGTGCGTTTGCGTGGTGATTTTGCGTAGTGTTTGTGCGTAGTGTTTCTTGCGTAGCGTATTTGCGTAGTGTTTTTGCGTCGTGCTTTCTGCGCCGTGTACTCGCGTAGTGTATTCGCGTAACGCATCTGCGTAGTGTTTTTTGCGTACGTGTGTTTGCGTCGTGTACTCGTGTCGTGTATGTGCTGAGTGCGCTTGAATAGCGTATTCGCGTTGTGTATTTGCGTCGTGTGCGTGCTGAGTGCGTTTGCGTAATGTGTTGGCGTAGCGTATTCGCGTCGTGTATGTGCTGAGTGCGCTTGCATAGTGTATTTGCGTAGTGGACTGGCGTAGTGTATTTGCGTCGTGTATTTGCGTTGTGTATGTGCTGAGTGCGTTCGCGCAGTGTGTTGGCGTAGTGTGTCGGCGTCGTGTTTTTGCGTGGTGTTTTTGCGTAGTGTTTTCGCGCAGTGATTTTGCGTAGTGTTTTTGCGTAGCGCTTTTCGCGAAGCGTTTTTTTGCGCAGTGTGTTTGCGCAGTGTGCTTGCGTAGTGTGTTTGCGTAGTGCTTTCGCGTAGTATATTTGCGTAGCACATCTGCGTCGTGTTTTTGCGTAATTGTTTCGCGTCGTGTATTCGCGTCGTGTATGTACTGAGTGCGTTTGCGTAGTGTATTGGCGTAGTGTATTGGCGTAGTGTATTCGCGTCCTCCTCCTCCTCCTCCTCCTCCTCCTCATCCTCCTCCTCCCTCTCCTCCTACTCCTACTCCTATCCGCGGCTACCTGGCATCGGTCCTTGAATGTTCCTCCTCCTCCCCTCCTCCTCCTCCATATCAGTCCAAAGCTCGTCCTCCTCCTCCTCCTGCTCCTCCTGCTCCTCCTGCTCCTCCTGCTCCTCCTCCTCCTCCTCCTCCTCCTCCTCCTCCTCCTCCCTCCGCACCTCCTCCGCCCTCCTGTACTCCAGTTCTAGCAAATATCGGTCCAAATTCCCCCCCCCCCCCCCCCCCCTCCACGCCTCCGCAACTGCCCGCCTCCTGCGGCGAACATGACGTGAGACGCGGGCGACGCGCTGCATTGGGATTCGGGCGTGTTGCTTCCGTGTAGTAGCGCGCCGACTCGGGGCACTCCTGAAAACACTACGTAAAAACACTACGCAGAATGAGTGCCCTCGTGGGCATCGTCTCGCGCCAGTTCCGCCCGAATCCGCAGCCCCCCACGGCATCGGGCGAAACTGTCCAGAGACGCGGGCGGCGCGGCATGCTGCTGCGCAAGGGTTTGGGCGTGTCGGCGTGGTGGTGCGCCGACTCGGGGCGCTCCTGCACGCACTGCGTAAAAATACTACACAAAATGCCCCCGTCGCCCGCATCTCGCGCGAATTCCGCTCGAAACAGCGGCTCCCCGTGGCCTTGGGCGAACGTGACGTGAGACGCGGGCAGCGCGGGTTTGGGCGTCGTTGTTTGCTACGTGGTTGCTTGCCGGCTCGGGGCGCCCCTGGAAACACTACGTAAAAACACTACGCAGAATGCCCTCGTCGCCCGCGTCTCGCGCCAGTTCCGCCCGAATCCGCAACTCCCCGCGGCCTCGGCCAACGGTGACGAGAGACGCGGGCGACGCGGCATGCTGCTGCGTGGGGTTTCGGGTGTGTTGCTCCCGCGTAGTAGCGTTGCCGTCTCGGGGCGCCCCTGAAAACACTACGTAAAAACCCTACGCAGAATGCCCTCGTCTTCCGGACTTCGCAGGGCCGCGCCAGCCGCTGGAGCGCCCGCTCACGAGACCTCCCTGGTCACACACGTACTGTGCGGATGTGACGTACTCACGTACGTAATGCTTCTCCGTAGTGTGTGTTTTGCGTAGTGATTTTACGTAGTGTTTTTTTTTCTCTGCGTAGTGTTTTACGTCGTGTTTTTACGTAATGTTTGTTTGTCTCTGCGTCGTGTTTTTTTACGTAGTGTTTTTTTTATTTCACCTTTAAAATTTCTATTTCACCATTAAAATTTTGATTTCACCATTAACCACAACCGTCGTCCCTGACCATCTAGAGGCGGACCAAAGTTAGGAGGTCCAAAACTTTGAGGATAGTGAGTCTTTTTTGCAGACGTGTCAAGCCAAACCACCTAGATTGATGATCCTGCTTCAAAAACGGTGACCTAGCTGAGGCGACGTCCTCATTGTGTTATCAGGGTCTGGGGTTCGTTTATTATCGATGATCTTCGTGACATCGGCCCCCTCGGCCACTTCCCCAGGACCGGTTTCTCATCCTGGGCAGTTCCCTGACGGCCCCAGGGCTGGGAAACGGCCTAAAGAGGCTGTGAGAGGCCCACAACGACGACAAAGCGGCCGCCACGATTTTTCTGAAACGCCCCGATCTGCGGATTCGCCTTTTGAGCGGGGGCCGACCGTCCCCGCTCCCGGCAGTCCTGCAGATGCCTCCCACGACATGCTCCCAGAGCAACACAATGTTCTAAGCACAAGGAATAGGTTCCAGGACGCGAACCCAATGTCATCAAATAGTGCTGTCTCAGCCCGAAACACAGCAAAACGCCAGAACGCGTCGCCGCGGTATTTGTTGCAACGCCCGCCCGGAGATCCGACGACGCGACTACATTGCAACATCGTAGTAAATCACGCCCGGAGCCCTAGACCCCATCTCCCTGCCCCACATTTCGAAGCGGATGGGTATGTGAAGATGCCAGGGCCCGAAATAAGGCGCAATCGCCCGGCTCGAAAACATTGGGACGCCAAGATCTCAGGGCGGATCTGAGGATCGCGCCGCATCGCCGAGGCACCGCCGATGCATCGGCGCTGCATCTGCGGAGGCGAGGATGCATCGGAGCGCCGTGTGCGTGGAGAAAACCAGGCTCCACATCTAGCCGCCTCGCCGATGCATCGGCGATGCGGCGCGATCCTCCGACCCCGTCTGCTCGGACAGCTTTAGACGCCCGAAACGTGTACGGAAAAGGTGGGTGCGATGTCCAACAACAGGTGATGTCCAGAACCGCCCATGTACAATCGGACCTAAGACACAATAACACCCTTCAAGCACACAAGACCCCTCGCCGGCCAAGCGGATGAGCACTCGAGGGCGCCCACTCCCAAGATGCACAAGAACACCCAACAACCACGAAGAAAATTAGGGCAGCCTCCCCAAACCGGCCGCGATCTTATACAGTGGAGGCCAGTCCACAAGAAACCTTCCACAAGAAACCCAACCCTGAGACCCCAGGACGTCCATCGACTTTTGGCGTGGGACCGTCACGCTCTCCACAGCAAAACCACCGAAACCCAAGAAACCCAGGGCACCCTGGAGGCAAGCAGGGTGTTTCTTGGCCTGGGCCTCCGCTGCACCCCTGTCCGACCGTACGCCGACTGCACCGCCGACCGTCGCCGCATCGCACCGCATCGCCGCTGTCGAGGCCAGGCGGCCTCCGCCGCCCCAGGAGCCGCCACCTAACCTCCCCGCTGTCCTCTCGCCGCCCGGAAGGGGGAGGGGGAAACGCTATGGGGGGGTAGGGGGCCTTTCGGTGCGACGCGCCCAGGTAGGGCCTGCCGGCCGCGCGGCGCCGCCCTCCTCGGCCCCCGCCTGTTCCTCCTGCTCCTCCGGCTCCTCTGACCTCCTCCTCCGTCCTCCTCCGCCTCCTCGCCGGCGCCCCTCCTCCTCCACCTCCTCCTCCTCCTCATCCTCCACCTCCTCCTCGTCCTCATCCTCCACCTCCTCCTCCTCCTCCTTCCTCCTTCCTCCTCCTCCTCCTCCTCCTCCTCCTCCTCTTCCTTCTTCTTCTTCTTCCGCCCCGCAAAAAACCCGTCTGGGCCGCCCGCGCGGCTGGGGGCTGGGCCGCGCGGCGCGGGTTCGAAGCATCCGGGGCGGGCATCCCAGCAATGCCCTCCCGCTGCCTTGGCGTTGGGTAAACTTGGACCCACTGGGGTCGTAGTGTCTGTCTTCCTCATTTCTCTCTCTCGCTCCCTGTCTCTCTCTCTTGTTCCATCTCTCTCTCTCTCTCTCTCGCAGCGCTCTGCAGCGATCCCGACCCGCACTCGCGCCGCAACGCCCGCGCACGGGCGCGGGCCGCGCGGCCGCGGAGGCCGCCCATTACAACGGGAAGACCTGGCTTCCGTTTGGGAGGGGGGAGAAGAGGACCCCGCCCCCCACTCCTGCATCCTCTTCCTTTTCTTTTTGCGTTCGGCAAACGTCAGCGATGGGGGTTTCGCGTTCCTTCACAATTTGAGCTCTTATAGGGGCAGCCGCAAACAACAATTCTATGAGGACGGGCGCGAGATGATAAAAGCGTGCTGTGCGGCAGTAGTGCTGACAAGAAGGTGGAACTGGCGAGAAAAGCTAGAGAAGTAAAGCGAAGATCCTGCCTCCTCCTACTCTTTATCCTCCCTCTCCCTCTGAGTAGCCGAGCCCTGGCCGATGGATCGAAGTCCTCGAAGGGCTACGGCTGCGGCGCTGCCGGCGGGGAAATGCTAGGGATTGCTGGAAAAAGTGGCCCTCTGCGGGGGCCATCGCTCGGACGCCCACTCGCCGTGCACTTGTCGGCTTCGTGCCTATTTTTCCTTCGCAAGATGATTCAGGATGCTCCTCGATGGCCCCCGCTGAGAACAAGTGCACACGCGCGCATAGTTTTTCGCCCCGAGGCCTGAGAACAAAACTCTGCACCGACCCGCTCCTGGGTCGAAGACCGACGGCGCCCCGGGAGGCGCCAGCGCAGCACGGTCCACGCAGGTCGCCCGCGGGCTTCGGCTGCCACTGAAGACCCACGAGGTGCACCACAGGCCCACGCTTCGTCCACCCCCGTTGATGGCCTCCCCACGGACGAGCACCAGACGGCGGTCTGTCGATCAGTCCCGCACGTCTCGTCCCGCCCCTTCCCCCAGGCGTCCTCCAGCTCGCGCGGGGAAGGACTGGGATCGACAGGACGAGGAGGAGGGTGGCGAGGAAGAAGAAGAAGAAGAAGAGGGCACATATGATGCTCGAGGATCGAGCTGTGTTCCCCCGACGCACTGTTTGTAAACTCTGGAAGGCTTCTCGTCGCCACGGGTGTATTATCCTTGACGTTGGGACCATCAATCCAGAGATGGTCAGGGAGTGACTTCCCAAAATAGCAAACTATTCATGTTAACGAGTACGTATACATATGTATATGCATACACATAGATGTATCCATCTATCTATGTGTGTATACATATAAATATATGTACATGCTACCCTGCTCCGGGCCCTCGCCCCCCCCAAGCCCCAAAGATGGGATGGGTCTCAGGGTCCCTCGGGCTCCCCTCCCCTGCACGGGTGAGATTTACAAGTATGTGACGTGGGATGTTTCTCATCAACATGCTCATCGTCATCATCCGCATCACCATCATCACCATCATCATCCTTGTCCTTCTCCTCATCTGATTCCTTGTCTTCATCCTCCTCCTCCTCATCTCCCCTCTCCTCCGCGCAATCAAAACAAGAAGGCAGCCGTAAAATCGAAAGCCATAGCACACCCATACAATTACGAAACAGTAACCTACCAAGGCGCTCGAAAACAATAAGCGTTCAATGCAATCAAAAACAATAATGAACCCATACAAACAGAAACACCAAGAAATCCATGCGATGAAAACTAACTGATAGAAACGTATTGGGTCCACGAACCCCGTGAGAATACCAGGGTACCCGCACAGGTTTGTGGACCCAAGACGGGTACCCTGGGTCGACTCTTGTTCTTGGGTACACTCACAACTTTTGATAAGAGAAAACCCTCACAAGGCTCGTGGACCCACGGCGTTTCCTCATTGTTTTTGAATCTCTGAACTTCATATTGTTTGGATTGTATGTCTCATACTTGTGTTTGATTGTCTGGATGTCTTATTGGTTTCGAGAGTATGGATGTCTTATTGTTTTGATGGTAGGGTGTGCGTATTGGTTTTCGTTGTGGAGGTTTCATAATACTACTTGTCATTGTACAGGCCCCCATCCACACTACTTCTCCCTCCTCCACCCCCTCCATCCTGGCCTTGGAAGCGAAGAGGAGGAGGGAGAGGAGGGGGATGAGGAGGGATAGTGATGATGATGATGATGATGATGATGATGATGATGATGATGATGATGATGATGATGACGATGGTTTCTGATTCCTAATTCCTCAAAGCGTGTCCCTGCATCTAGGCAGGCCGCGACTCAACAACCTCAGGTCGAGTCAGGAAAGGAAGCGCCTGGCCGAGGCGGCAAACCTCGTCGGGGCCGGGACAAGACCTCACGCCCAGTCTTCGTGGGCGGGTGGCACACCTTTGCCAAATCCCGCGGCCCTTTCACTGTGCAAAAGGCGCCGCAGGCGGTACAGAACAGCACCCCTCGCTGCACAGCGAGGTGGTGTGAGGAGTCGCATTGATCCGCTAACGGATGGTCCAGGGCACCCCCACACAACACCGACGGCCCCAGGTCATCAGGGACAGGCTCGGGATCATCACGACCACTCACTGGGCGCGCAGGCAGCGACTGTACTCGCTGCTGCAGTGCGCAGCGCGGCTTGCAAGGATCTGGCCAAAAATCATGCAGAGAGCCACGCAGTGTGAATCCCTTCGCACAGGCAGGACAGCGGATCACAGCCTTCCTCTTCTCAGGCTGGTGTCCTGCGTCTCGAAGACGACACATTCTCTCGGCAAAACTGGTGGACTGCCCTCGCTCTCTTCGTAGCGCACGAGCAGCCCTATCACGATCACCACAGAACAAAACCTCCCTTTGCACAGCTAGGAGACGAAAAAGCACATCCGAAGCGAGACGATCCGCCTCCAGGGTGCGCCTGACGTCATCCTCAGAAACCTGAGCCCTCGACGCAGCATCCTCCGCGAAACGATCCACGGCACGATTCAAATATAGCTCTGTGTCCGAGAGTAACATGTTCCGGCGTTGGGCGTCAGTGGCATGTCCTTTAGTCCACAGCACATTGAGACTTCCTCCGCGATTTCTCATGATCGGTGCGCTCCACGGCCTGATCGGGGATGTCCCGATTGCACTCGCACTCCCAAAAGCGATGGGCAGGCGTCTCAACTGAGGCGCCGCACCTAGGGCACAAGCCCCTGGAGACTGACAGGTAGCCAGCATCTCGCTATCTGGCCTCTGTCCAGTATCCTGCGGTAATCACATTTCTCAGGGCCCCTGCTGCCTCCACCTCTCCGTCCATCTGAAGCTTAGCCAAGACCCTCTTCACCGCCGTAAAGTCAGCCCCTCCTTCCAGCCCTGCACCCATATAATGGCGAGCGGCCTGTTGCCAAGACAACGCCGAGCATGTGTCCTGCAACTGCCCCCACAAGGCTGAGGGAAACTCATCATCATTAACGCGGAGTTCGCGTGCGCCAGCACGCCAGAACACATGAGAAATGGGCACCCAACTTCAATCCAGCAAGCCAGCGAGGGTAGCGGCAATAGGACCTCGAGCAACTCTCCAACGATGCCGGGTAGAACCAAACTTAACCTTAATACGTTCCCACGTTTTACTGGTCATCATCCTCTGGGAGTGGTCCAAGTGCCTCCAGACACTAGCAAAACTGAGCAACTGCTCATACCGAAGCCTAAACTGGGGGTCGCCCATGGCCGAACCCAGAAGTCCCAATGCCGAGGTGGTACAAGCCCCAGGCGACCACCACCCAGAGCACATGGCAGCCTGGGCCCTCATGCTTTGGACCCGGCTAGGCGTGAGCCCCAAGACTTCATGGCCCCAGGGCCCGACAGCCAACACAGCGGGCTTGTGCAAACGGCTGGCCCGTCTAACCAGCTTCGTCAGGCAAGAAACCTTCCGGGCCTTCTAGCGGGCCTTACGCTGCCGCTCCTTGACCTAACGCGTGCCGCGCCTCTTGCCAGCCGTGGTCATGACCCCCAGATCACGCACGGCACGCTCGCAACGAAGCCTGATGCCAACACTATCCAGCCGAGTAGTGGCAGCTCGCTCCAGGGCGACACTAGAACAAACCATAGCACTCTTGTCAGAAGTCACAGTACCAGCTGCTTCAAGCTGATGATGCAGCCACACGGCTGCAGGAACAATGGCGTTGACGATATCATCAACCGAACCCTGCTGAGTTTGGGTGATGTGGGGGGGGGGGGGGCGTCCCACATAAGCTCGCAACTCAGCACTAGGGACGTGAAAGTTGGCATCGCAAAGCCCAGACAGTCATACACGTAAAATCTTAAACCCGGGGATGTTGGGCCATGAGACGGGGGTGGGGTTGGGCGTCGGGGTTGTCTTACTAATATAAATATTTAAACCTGGAAGCACCCCTACGCCCTGTAGAAATGATATCAGAAGACCCCCCCCCCCCCCCCCCAAACCTCCAAGATGCGAGGGGCCTCGTGCATGGCAATCCCCAGGTACAGGAGGTGCAAGGTACCGCATTTCCAAAGCAAATCCAGCAAGGCGAGAAGGATCAACCGTACCAAAGAACTTCGCAAGGTCCCAGTACAAACCAAAAGACTGCAT